TGCACCCCACCATTCAGCAATCCCCCCTTAGTTTGTTTCCATGGGCCATACATCTAAGTTCTTTGTCTTCTCCATTTCCTATACTATTCTTAACCTCCCCGTGTCTGTTTTTTACCCATCAGTTATGCTTCTTATTCCCTGTACCTTTTTCCCTTATTCTCTCTCCCTCCTTCTCCCTGCTGGTAACCCTCCAAGTGATCTTCATTTGTGAGATTATGTTCCTGTTCTAGTTGTTTGCTTAGTTTGTTTTTGTTTTTTAGATTCAGTTGTTGATAGTTGTGAGTTTGTTGTCATTTTACTGTTCATATTTTTTTATCTTCTTTTTATCAGATAAGTCCCTTTAACATTTCATTTATTAGGGCTTGGTGATGATGAACTCCTTTAACTTGACCTTATCTGAGAAGCACTTTATCTGCCTTTCCATTCTAAATGAAAGCTTTGTTGGAAAGAGTCATCTTGGATGTAGGTCCTTACCTTTAAAAAACTTTTTTTTCTGACTGTCATATTTCTTTAGAGCCATGCATATCATCATCAATAAAAATACAGGGTTCCATGGTTAGGCCATACGTACCCTGGGAGCTTTCAGGTCCTGGGTATTAGGAGAGCAGTTTGGACATATACAGTGTAGGAGACATATACTGGGCCGGGCAGAAGTAATGCCTGCTTGAGTGTGGTTGGTAGGGTAGTAATATGGGTGTGATAATTTATAGTTTTAATTTGAACATTTCACCTAAAATGTCGTATGTTATACTTGAGTGTGATATTGTTACATTACAGAATTACATGCCTATGATTTTGTAATAAAAGATTTTGTAATAAAAAAGGGGAGTTATTTGTGCTGGACCCTGTATATTAAGTGCTTAGTGTTGGAAAGTAGAATATTTCTGACGTGGACCCGGTTTACAGATTTGTGCTAGTGGTTATGATGGTGGCAATAAAAGTTAACAAGTGCAACACTTTTTTTAAATTTCAGAAAACGTACATAATTCACAAATGTTCCCTTTTTCAGTGTTATGAATTATCTTGGAATCTAGCTATGGGAAATAGCATACACCATCTTTTGTCTTGCTGTTAATCTGAACTGTTTTGTAGCAACATAGACTTTATGTACAGCAAAGCTATCACCATAAAATAGGTTTGGCTTTTTTCTATGCATGAAAACATCATTGTATGAAATTTTATAACAAGAGGTTGCTCCTGAGGGTAGAGGCGGGGGTGTGTATGAGTCATTACATTCCAACAGTAATTTACCAGGAAAATTTTCTACAATGAGAGGGTAGTACATCACCCCCCCAAATTAACAAAGTATATGAAACCAATAGAATCTACAGTTGATTTATATAAAGTTAAATCTTTATTATACTTAAATATATTTATTTAAATTCAGAAAAAATAGCTAACCACAAAGGTGAAATTTATTTTAAGGAAAATAAGTAAAAATCCCTTATTTTTAAATGAGAGGAAAATTAGTAAATACAGAAATCCTATTGCAAATAAGGTAAGTTTGTTAAAGAGATGAAGTATTAGTAGTTAGATATTTCTACTTCCCACCTAGAAGATACAATTTGAAGTTTAGGAAATCTGGCAATCATATGTAATGTGGAAGTAGGTATGGACTCCAAAGGCGGAAAAACGCAATTTGGGGTATCATTTTTTAATTTTTCTGAAGTTGTCTATGTATTTCCATTTAAATTATTTGGCCTAGTAATATAGAAGCCTAGTGGAATAATGATGTATAGTGCCTAGAGTTAGATTTTCTATACAAACAAGTTTTCTCTAATACATATAGAAAATACAAGCTTGCTATATATATATATATGTGTGTGTGTGTGTGTGTGTGTGTGTGTGTGTGTGTGTGTGTTATATAACTTGCTTCTTTGATTTCTGTTATTTTTGCATAAATGTTTGAGGTTCAGCATTTTTATATGTCAATAATGTTACTTTAAAAGATAGAAATGATAAGGATGAAAGTCAAGGAATTAAAAGTTTTAACCTGTTTTAATTCTTTCATACTTTATGCCCTTGAGAATTCCTGTTATAAATAGCATGTATTTCCTTGTGTGTGAATTTGTGTGATGCCAAAATGCTTCTGATTACTTTCTAAGACATTGAAAATTTAACACAATTTGTAGCTAATTTAAAGTATTTATTAACCATGAAAAACAAATGTTTTCCTAAGAATACTACAAATTCATAAGTAAAATGCTACCTTAGCAACACAAATCTTTTAGAACTTGACTTTGATAATGTTATGCAGCTTCAAGTTACATTTCCTTTTATTTACCCTAGAATGGGACTAAGCACAATCTAGTTTATAAAATGTCAGAGGAACGCGAAATATTTAGAAAGTTATGTGATGAAAAAAATGTTTAATTTCTGTTAAATTAATAATTTCCTGTACTCAGCACACACACATTGAGCAGCTTTGTGTCCAGTTCTGGGAGAACTGTGACATATAAGACATTCCCTGCCCACGGGGAAGTTACAGACTATCTGTAGTACATTAGTACAGGAACAAAATTCTGTGGAAAGTCCCCAGCGGAGAGTAGGAGACCAAGAAAAGTCCTCCTGGAGAAGGTCTGAGCTGCCTGTTCATTAAAGAATGTGTTCCTAACACTTTTCATTAATGAGTTGATATTTTGTGCTGCAGAGAAGTGGTTTCCATGAATGGGTTACAAGGATGCTAGGAGACTGAGTTCTTCAATCTTAGGAAATGGAGACTAACAATCAAACGGAGACTAAGTGAGCAGGGGACCCAGTTACAAGCAGCCGCCTCCGTATGTCCCAGTGCGCCATATGGCTCATGTGTGATGATGTGAAGAATACTGGGAAATAGTGGTGGAGAAGGCCATCATCCACTAGAGATTCCACAGGCTCACAGACTTGCTAATACAAGATAAATCTAATAACCACAATTTAAAATGGCCTTTTTTTAATTTTCTAAATTCCGATAAAATATACATAACATAAAATTCACCATTTTAACCATTTTAAGTGTTCAGTTCAGTGACATTAGATGCATTGATATTGTTGTGCAATGTCACCATCTATCAACAGAACATTTTCATCTTCCCAAACTGAAACTATACTCATTAAACAATAACGCACACACACAGTGCTTCTCTCCCTCAGCCCCTGGCAACCACCATCCTACTTCTCTGAAGTTGACCACTCTAAACACCTCAGAAGTGGAATCATACACGTGGTGTTTATCCTTTTGTCATTGCCTTATTTCACTTAGCTAAATGTCTTAAGGATTCATCCATGTCAGACTATGTGTCATAATTTCCTTCCTTTTTAAAGCTAAATAACATTTTATTGTGTGTATAATACCACATTTTGTTTATCTATACATTTGGGTTGGCTTCAGCTTTTGGCTATTGTGAGTAATAATTGATATGCAAATTATCTGTTTACCTCTGCTTTCAGTGTTTTGGGGTATATAACTAGAAGTAGAATTTCTGGATCATATAATTCTATTTTTAATTTTTTAAGGAAGCACCATTTTATTTTTCATGGTGACTGTACCACTTTACATTCCAGTAGCAGTTCACAAGGGTTCCAGACTCTCCACATCCTCACACCCATTTGATTTCTTTGTTTTTGATAATAACCATCCTAATGAGTGTGAGCAAGTGTTATTTCATTGTGATTTTTATCAACATTCCCCTAATGGTTAATGATGTTGAACATCTTTTCATGAGCTTATTGGTAATATGGTCTAATATTTTCTAAGATATTTGAGAATAAGGAGAGGTGTCCAACCATTTTGAATAAGATTAACCAAATCTTATTCAAAAGCAACTTATTTTATAGAATTAGATCAACCTACTCTTAAATGTTTTACTGCTACAAAGAATTTTAGCAATCCTCAATTTTTAATCTGAAATCCATTTATGGTTCCAGATAGTCTATGAATAGCTGAATTACAGTAGAATTCCATCAGAGTCTCAAAAGCATTTTGGACCCTTAATATCTTAAGAACTATTGATACATCCTAGAATCACCAAAATGTGAAAAGGTCACTATCTCTTGGGTAGGTGAAATTAGGTGATTTTTAAATTTCTACTCTGTGCTTTCCTATATTTTCCCAAGTACCTAAAATAACCATGTGTAGTACATGTGATTTTATGCTATTTTAAAATTTAAAAGGTAAAATTTATCTTTAGCTCTTGGATGTACAATTAAAAAACGAGTCCGAAAGCTAAAAAGAAGTAAAATGGACGTAGCGTGCCCTTATCGCTGCCTGCCTTCCCTTCGAGTCACAGCATTTTCTAGTGACCACGAAAACCGCGGGCAGGCTCCACCACTACAAGAAACATGATGCTTCCCATTGAATCCGTTTCAACTGAATTAATTACAATAAAATATTTGTTGTTGACTTTTTATAATGAGCTTTTACTATAAGGAGAATACAGGTTCTATATCTAGAAAAGCAATATTTACCACTGATTTTTTCAGCTTAAATTTATTAAGAGAAATGTTTACATTAAAATCTTTATAATAAGATTTTTATGGGTTTTCCTATATTTACATACAGTACATACTATGTTTACTTTTTAAAGATGTTGTGTTTTTGTTTTCTTTAAATTTATAACAATAATCACTGAATTTTAGAAGCAACTATACAGAATCTCATGAATACGTACCTGTGTTCAATCTCGCATCCTAAAAAACCGTAGGACATGTTTAAGATTTTTGTGAAGAACTTTCTAGGACATCTTAACCTATGCAAATTCATTGTCAAGTCTCCATATCTCCCTGGATCTTTATGGCTAGATTTAATAGTACTCCAAGTAGGGCTTCAACCATTTAATATCTTCAGGCCTCTGTTTCCTTGTGTGTGGACGGAACCAGATAGTTCTATCCAACTCTAGCATTTGTTTGATGTATGTATGTGCTTAACTGTAATGTTTATGCTGTGAAATTTTAGGTTTCTTTTATAACTATATTTTTAATTTATAAAAGTTTTTTAAATTTCTGGGGCCTTTTTTTTCCAGCTATATGCCGGAGCTATTCTTGAAGTCTGTGGATGAAAACTGGGGAGGTTCCCACAAGTCCAAGGTATGTAAAATTAACTCCAATAAATTCATAGTTTAATAATATAAAACCAACATTTCACAAGAATAATTTTATTAAATATTCCTACAAATAAGAATTTTTAGGATTATACTCTCTCAACAGCATATGAATTTTTCCACATCTTTTTTGTGGAAGTGGGGTATTACAGTAATTGTTGAATACAAGGTTACTTTAAGCAAGCATAATATGTGAAATCTAGATTTAAATGCAACACATGATGAGATGGTTAATACTTTGAGAGACTTCCCTTTACCAAGTATAAATTTTGTGAGACCCTTTTTTCTATCAGATGTAAATGTCATCCCTTTAAATACCATTTCATTGCACTATGTTTTAAATGTAAACTGATTATATAAAACTCCTAAGGAACAGTAGCACTAGTGAAATTAGACCTGTGCTCAATGACAAAACATCCAGAATAGAATTAATTAACATGAAACTCGAGGTGCAGAAGAAAGGAAGTTGTACGTGTATGTCTCTACAGGAATTTTTTAAGATGTTATTATTTATTTTAGACAAAGAGAGGGAGAGAAACATCAGTGTGTGGTTGCCTCTCACACACCTGGCCTGCAACTCACACATGTTCCCTGACTAGGAATCAAACCAGTAACCCTTCGGTTCACAGGCCAGCACTCTATCCACTGAGCCACACCAGCCAGGGCTTCAGCAGGAATTTTTAAAGAGAATTATATGAAAGGATAATTGTAAAAGAGTGTTTATTCTTTTGGTTGACATCAAACAGTAATGGGGTTTTGCAGTTCCCAAAATATTTGGGCTAAAGCTTTTTTCTATTTTGTCCTTATATTCCACTTGAAAATCAGTTTTATGAAATTGAACTTTTCTGAAGGTATCAACCAGTGGGTGTTGGTACCAGTACAATGCCAACAGGAATCCTCAATTTTGGGTATTGAAGGAAATTTTATTCAGTGCAAGCAACTCAACTGTGATACAGCAAGGCTGTGTAACAGCACAGCTATGGAGCAGCTCAGTAGTGTTACAGCTCAATTATGAGGCAGCCCTCTCAGGCTAGACCGCTCTGCTACGCTGTGCTCTGCTCTGGTCCAGCAAAATGTCTTCATTGTTTCAGCTCCAGGCAGGGAAAAAACAGTTTTTGTTCTCCAAGCTATAAGGGAGCTCACTTATGTAGAGAGAAGTGCCTGCCTCTGGTGCCTGATTGGTCCAGCTTCATATAAACAAGGACTCCAAATCCTCACAGTTGGATTTGTCCAGAAGACACTGTCCTGTTTGGTCAGAATGGAGCCACTGTGATTGGTCAGTGAAGATGCTGATGGAGATATAGCTGCACAGCTCCTATTAGATGGCAGAGTCTCAGTCCTATTGATTTAAATAGGATTTTAAGAACTCCTTTATAAGGGTTGGATCAGTCGCCAGGAACAGTGTGCATGCAGGCAGACAGCTTAGCTGCTGGCTTCTCCCTTAAGCATGGTTTGCATGTTTAGAAACAGCTGCTAGGTTCTGTTTTTAAATTTGAACCCTGTTAGCCACCAGGTGGGTATCCCTTTCTCAGGGTCAACAAAGTGCTCTATTTGCTGGCTTTCCCATGATTTCTTACCTTGTTTACTTGATGGCAATATAATTATCTGGATTTAGTATTTTATAAAATTGCCTGTATTAGCACCTGCCCTTTATTGCTGATACAGAATTGTTTATAATAAAGTATTGCTGATTTTTGGCACAGAAATGAAATAGAATAATTTGACTTAGGACATTTCATAAATGAGACCTAAAGCAGATACACATTTAATTAACTACATTCTCTGTTAGAATAAGCACAAATTCTAATGTAGCACAGGATATAACATCTACATCTGCTTAGGGAAAAAATCCTACTCTGTACTTTTTTCCTCGAACACTTAAATTCAGAATTGTACCATAGTTGTTTTTATATAAGTTCTCTGAATGATAATGTGATCACTCTTATTCCTACAGAATTTGGCAATTGCTTTTTAATTGTATCGATCACTTATATTTACTAATTGTATTAATCTTTTGTGACTTAGCTTTTCAGGAAGTTAAGAGTAGCTTTGCTACAGCAATTATCACTTGTATTTGTGATATCAGATTTTATTATGTCCATGGTAATAATTTACATAGCTTGTAGTTTAGTTTTTAAAAGTTTGAGTATGGTTTCTCAATCTTTGGAGTTGAACTTAATTTTATATATGTTTTATGTATAAATTATCAAACCTTTGAGTACATGTAGTCATAATGTCTTTTCCTTTTGAAAACAATTGGATTTTAATTCTTTGTGTAAATATTTAATCAGTACAAGCTTACTTAAAATGAAAATGATTGCATAATTACATAATGCATAACCATGTTTAATATAATTCATGTAACACCAATATTTTCTTAGTCCTTGAAAAGCTGGTACATTTTTATTATAACCATTTTCACTTTGAGACTCACTGTCTTAAAGCTATTCTGGAATAGAAAATGAAGGAGAATTGCCAGTTTTTGCAATGATTACAAATAACAAACTATTCAATAATTATTAACTAGTCATTGTTTCATAATCTTTGTTATCCACATCAGGTAGCTTCTAAAATTAGCATGATAACTTTCATTATATTTTAATTTAAAATACATTGTAATTATTTCTTAGTTTACTTAAATTAGCCATGTCATAAAATAAAAGAGTAAATTAATGTGAAATATTTTGAGAAGAGAGGAGGGTTTAAATTTTGAAATGTTTTATTCACATTTAAACAACTGCATTTGTGGGGGAACAGAAAGTCCCAGGTCATATTTCTTAGCCAGTTCCAGGTTTCCCTCCTAAAGCAGTATGTATTATATAATAATTTCTCTTAACAGATTTGACACAGTGTTATAGCACTTGTGCTGATAAAAGTAATAATGTAAATAAGTATGTTTTCCTTCTCAAGCAGCATAGTTTAACTGTGTTAAAGATATGTTTGTCTCCAAAAATATGTGAATTTTCCCTAATTTTCTAGGTCATGGCAAGCTTTTTCTTTAAAAAGCTAGATAGTAAAAATGTTCAGCTTTACAAGCAACTAGGATTAGTTCTGTCATCTGGTCTACCTGTCTCCTCTTATTACTGCCATTGCCTCTTCCACGTAAAAAGACCTTTTCCATAAGGCGAATTTGATTATGTAGCCTCTTAAAATCTTTATAGTTTCCCATCACATACAGAGTAAATATCAAACTCAGTAGAATCATACATGAGGCCCACCACAACAGGGTTTATTTTTCTTAGGTTCATGTGCCAAACTATTTGCAGTTCTCTGAACTTTCAGCTCTAAGTCTCTGTGCCCACTTACATGTACTTCCTCACTTACACCTCTTCCTAATTCTGTGGCAAACTTATTCAAAGTTGACTTCAAGCATTAATTTTGGGTGGCCTTTAGACAGAATTTTTCACTCTCCCTTTTCTTTTTTTATTTAATCTCGATTGTATTCTTTTCCACTTATACCCTCTCCCCCCAGCAATCACCACATTGTTGTCCACGTCCATGAATCTTTTTCCTTTTTGCTCAATCCCTCCACCCACTTACCTCCCCACTACCTGTCATCTGCTCTCCATCTATGAGTCTGTCTCTGTTTTCCTCGTTAGTTCTTTGTTCATTAGATTCCACTTAGGAGTAAAACCATATGGTATTTTTCTTTCTCTGACTGGCTTACTTCACTCAGCATAATTTTCTCCAGGTTCATCCATACTGTTGCAAAGGGTAAAATTTTTCTTCTTTTTTTATGGCCTAGTAGTATTTCATTGTGTAAATGTCCCATAGTTGTTTTACCCACTTGTTGACACTTGGTCTGCTTCCATATCTTGGTGATTACAAATAATGCTGCAATGAACATAGAGGTGCTTCTGTTCTTACAAATTAGTGTTTTGGGTTCCTTCAGTTATATTCCCAGATATGGAACACCTGGGAGAAAGTGAGATCTATTTTCAGTGTTTTGAGGTAGCTCTATACTGTTTTCCACAGTGGCTACACCAATCTGCATGCTCACCAACAGTGTAAAAGGGTTCTCCTTTCTCCACATCTTCTCAGGCACTTGTTATTTGTTGATTAATTGATGATAGCCATTCTGACAGGTGTGAGATAATATCTCATAGTGGTTTAATTTACATTTCTCTGATGATTAGTGACATTGAGCATGTTTTCATATGTCTATTGGCCTCTGTGGAGAGGTGTCTATTCAGGTCCTTTGCCCATTTTTTAATTGCATTGTTTGTTTTGGGGGGAGGTTGGTGTTGAGTTTTGTAAGTACTTAACCTTTTTACAATATCTTTTGTAAGATATTAACCTCTTATGAGATGTATCAGCAAATATGTTGTCCCATTCTGTGGGTTGTCTTTTTATTTTGTTGATGATTTCCTTTGCTGTGCAAAATCTTTTTACTTTGATTTAGTCCCATTTATTTTTTTTCTCTTGTTCTCCTTTCCTGGGGAGATATATTGATAAAAAATTTCTATAAGCACTGGGGGGGTGGGCTGGGATGGGAGTAAAAAACAGAAACCTGTACTTGAACAACAATTGTGTTGTGTCCTAACGTGGTGTCCCAACAATTGTGTTTTGTGTCCTAATGTGGTCTATCCTAGAAAATGTTTCATTTGCACTTTGAAAAAGTATGAATATTCTTCAGCTTTAGGGTAAATTGCTCTGAAGATACCAATTAAATCCATTTGATAGGGCATGTCATTTAAGGCTGCCGTCTCCTTGTTGATTTTCTGCCTGGAAGATCTATCAACTGAAGTCAGTGGGTTGTTAAAATCCCCAGCTATGGTATATTTCTAATGATCTCTTCTTTTATGTCCATCAAGGTTTTAGCCCTGGCTGGTGTGGCTCAGTGGATTGAGTGCCAGCCTGCAAACAAAAGGGTCTCCCGTTTAATTGCAAACACACATTGATATTTCTCTCCCCCTCTTTCTTCTTTCCTCTCTAAAAATAATAAAATCATTTTTTAAATGTTTAAAGATTTTAAAAATATATTTT